TTTTTTTTTTTTTTTTTCAAACAGCTGTAATTTAGCGAAAAGAAAAAACATTTTTGTTCAATTCTTTCAGTACGAACGATAGCGACATTATTCTAAATTAATAATCCGTTTTAATTTTTTATTTCATATTATCAGGTGAGCTGCAATCTTGACATTTGTCGCGCGCTGTTTTTTTGGGACCCACCCCTCCGTCCCCCCCCCACTTCATCAGCCTATATCTTTTTCAATTTTTAATTTTTTCACTATTTTTTTTTTTTTCTTTCCATGTATTCTTGAAATATTAATGAATATCTTGTAACATTATAGATAGTGAAAATATTATTCGTCTTTTTGTTATTACACTTGAAAAAGTATCTACAATTCATGCCTCTAGACCAGAATATCTCCTTAATATATGGTAACAATATGATATGGTAACAAATGTTATTTAATGCAAATGAACAAACAAACAATATGATATTGGTCAAGTAGCTTAGATGGTTAACACTTGTGATGACGTCTGTTCGGTTACGAACGGATTAAGTAAATGAGATGACTTATGGACCACGGTCATCTCTTTGTGTTTTAATTCTCACTAACCAACGCATATTTTTACTTCTTAGTGTCAACGAGTTCTGTAAATGACAATTTTTTATTTAGATGCTTAGTATAGTTTTTATTTTTGTAATTTCAAGCAAATGATGATGATCAAAACGATCAACATTTACATTTTACGGATAATAATTTTGTATTTTCTTGTTACAATACGTCAAAGTTTTTTCTCATAATTATCATCGTTTATAGATTCAATCTTAGATTAACCTTCATCATTCTTCAAGTCTGAATGAATAATAATGAATGAATAATTTAGGGATAAATTTTCTCGCATAGTATCATTTCGATTTGAAAATGTACGTTAAATTAATTGGATTTATTATTGTAAGAATTATATGTGATTCAAAAATGATGACAGTATGAATTAATTTGTATTTTATATAATACAATTATTTAATATTATGGAATACATCGTAATATTAATTTTTACATTTTTTTTCTTTCTTTCTTTTTTTTCACTAATAGTTCATTGTTATAATTAACGTCACGTATAAATATATGTAACTGTATAACATTCTTTGTTTATTTTTTATCACATATTACAAACAATATATGAAAAAACTTATAGTTTATTTTATATTTTTAAACAACATCGTTAAAACGTGAGAA